ACACTTTAATATATGAAAACCAAAATAACAAAAGATATAAAATTATTTATTTTTTATCTGTACTTACCTTGATAATCGTTCAACATATGGTCAATTTCATGTCTTTAAGTCTTTCACTCCTTTATATGTAAAGGACAACATGACTTATCGAATTGTTTCTCCTAAAAAAACCAAACAAAATCGGTTGAGTTTCATCAATAGCCTGATGATCCTCATCAAAATTCTATAACAATTTTTCTCCTTTTTCTAAGTAATGATTTTTTGCAGCGCGTAGGACCTGTTTCCTTTTTTTGGTGTTAGACTCTAAAAATCACATGAATATATTATATTAGCAAATTAAGAACTGCACAACATTTAGGAATGAAAATGCATGAAGTAAACGAAAAAAAATTAAAAATAAAACTGATGGCCATGCCTCAATTCAACATCTGATGTGTGTTCCTTCGAAAAGGTCTGGTGACTTCTCGAAACATTCCAAGATTATGTGTCTTCGGGATAGCAAGGCACTATATCACCTTTTCTAAAGAGTACATGGTAACATGTATTCCCTTAGTATTTCTGGGAACTTGCAAAGCATGTTTTCCACGTATCATCATCAACAATTTGACTAGCCCATCAAGATCATGAGTTATATCGTTGCTTCAGGTAAAATAATTTATCTCCGCGGGTATATCAAAGTCACAGTTTTCTTTATGTAATCCAACAAAGCAAAGTATGTGAGAAACTCGAACTCCAAATCAAAATCATAGTACTTCTCACTCACTCTACCATTGACATACGTTCGTGTAGGTGAAAAGACAAAATATCCTCCATAATGAAATCTTTTGTTCTCATGTCGGTATACCCATTCTTCCTATTATAAAAAAAGTAAATTCAAGTTAGATGAATATAAATAAACAACAACAATATTAATAATGAGTGTATATGATAGACTAACAATGATGATTTTGTGATCAAGAAAATATTAAAAAAATAAATGACTAAATGATGTACCCAATAGAATCAGTTACTTTTTCTGGCTTATACAAGAATGGTGAGAAGACATGACTTTTCAATGCTATTTGTAGTAGATTGCACCTTATTGACTTATGGATGAGTTTTTGCATATCTTTAAGAGATACATCAGCAGGACACTCTTTTTGTAGTGGGCTTAGCTTTTTGTTTGCCTTTAACTAAACCTCCACGCCTACTCATGTTGTTGGTATTCTAAAAAAGTATTATTTACAATAAAATAAATCATTGAGTTATAAATAAATAAATGAAAGAAAAAGACATTATTGAGCTATGACCATAAAACGGAAAATTTCCTTAAACCCCAATGTCAATTAATCATTCATCCATTTTCCAGAATCTTAAGTCATGAATGAAGACAGACTGCGCATAAACAAGCAAAGTGGGTCATGAAAAGAATACGTTGTGAATGTATTTATGTAATGGTATTTTAAGCAGAGTGGGTCATGAAAATAATATATTGTGAATGTATTTATGTAATGGTTTGATGCCTCGAGAATCTGCCTTAAGATTGGTTTCTTGGTTGTAAAATACTAATTAAATAATGTAAGATCGAAAATGTCCAAAAACAAAATATATAAAAATTAGCAAAGTCTGATGACACAACAGACATGGAAAGTCTCAAAAGCTAAAGTAGCAAGCTAAGATCGAAAATGTCAAAAAAAATAAAAAATAAAAAATAAAAATTAGCAAACTCTGATGACACTATTTATTGCAACAGACATGGAAAGTCTCGAAAGCTAAAGTAGCAAGCTATCAGGTTAATAAAAAGCAGAGGCACTGTAGAGGATATTAGACATGTAATCAAAGGTAATTATTGCCATGAGTTTTTTATGAGTTTTTTCTTAACTTCTTTTATATCCACCTATTGGTTTGACGCATGGCCAATTTAATATTATATTATAAATAAAATTTTTCTCAAAATTTGGTATTATGTGATTGATGTGTGACGCATGACCAAGTTTAATATTATAGTATAATATTATTTTTTCTCAAAATTTGACATTATGTACTTGATTATGTTTTTTTATCAATAATTATGTCATTAAAAAAAATTTAATAAATATCAAATAAGTGTATTTTCTGAAAATCCTAGAAAGTTGTGAGATTTCATCCTCAATATAAACACATAATGCATGGAAGAAAATAAAGCAAGTTGCAGAAGAAAACTTACCTTTAAAGAAAAATGATTCTTGAAAGAAAACTGCAAGTAAAACAATTTGCAAAAGAAAAAAAATGCACAGAACACTAGAAAATAAAAACCTCAATGACGTTGTATTGGTTCCAAAAAGAAAACTAACCTTTGAAGCCTGAATATTGGTCCCATTTCTTAGTGAGTGGGCAACCGTCTCGCTCGTTGGTGAGAGGGCGGGGATGAGGGGGCAACGTGCCCTTCACGGTAAGTCTAATTAGTAATTGGACTTGTTATTAAATTACTAATATTTGAGCTTGGGTTGGGTTAGATTCATGTTAACCCAAATAAATAGGGTTTTCTATTATATATATACTTAAAAGCAATTATTATTAATTAAAGTGGTCTAAACATTTGATTTAGTTATGCATGCCCAAAGTGATAATTACTATAGTTTATATATATATTTCATCCCAATTCCACTAGACGTCTAGATCCAATAAAGTATTATTATTAAATAAAATATTATATAAATACTTAAAAGAAATTATTATTAATTAAAATTGTCTAAATATTTTATTTAGTTATGCCCAAAGGCCAAAGTGATAACTACTACAGTTTATATATATGTATTTTATATATAAATATTTCATCCCAATTCCACTAGCCGTCTAGAACCAATAAAGTATTATTATTAAATAAAATATTATTAATTTAATAACTTGCAATAAAATATAGCATAAATGTAAGATTGGCAGCAGGAGGTTAGGAGGATGACAGGTGAGATTAGACAAAACTTTCACCCTATTCCACTAGACGTCTAGACCCAATAAATATTATTAATTTAATAGTTTAAAATAAAATATAACATAAANGGTTCTTGTTGATTGTCTTCGTGTGGACCTCTACGGTTCGATCCTACACTTGGATCGGTAGCAAACACATTCAGGGACAACATTGGTGGAGCCTCCAAACGTGGGTATGAATCTAAACATTTGGATTTATTTTTCTGCAGATTCTTATTATGCATAAACTGTAAAATCTGTGCCTTGATTTTGGATTCTAAGGAACGATCCGTGGTTGTAAATTTTTTGTTTTCCGCTGCGCAACCGGGTCGTTTCCTAACAATCCTAAGTATGCTTTGTGGAAGAAAATTGATAAACTTCTAGTTAGTTGGTTGCTGTCTTCGATTTCAGAATCAATGTTTACTGTAATTGCTAAATGTCAACATGCTACTGAAATCTGGATAACACTAGAAAAGGAATTCCTTACTGAATCTAGAGCCAAAACATTACATGTTAAAAGCTTGTTACAAAATATTAAGAAGGATAGTCTTAGCATGCATGCCTATTTTCTTAAGATGAAAGGATTTGCTGAGAATCTGATTGCTAGTAGGGTTAGTGTTACGGATGAAGAACTACTTAATTATATATTAGATGGTCTTGACTCAGATTATGATGCTGCTGTAGTCAATATAACCTCTAGGTTAGAGTCTAGACTAAAACCAATCTCTATTCAGGAAGCTCAAATTATCCTGCAAAAATTTAAGCTAAGATTGGAAAAGGCAAATTCTGCCCTGAATTCAGTTATCCATAATGAGTTCCATGGAGTCTCAGCTAATATTGCCAATCTTGCTATAGACACCAGTAATAAGAAATCTCAATTACCTCAGGATACTCAAAACCTTGTTGGAAAACTTCAGTATAATACCCTACCTCAAAGTGACCAACTTCATAGTTTCCTTTCACCTTATGCTCCACCTACTCAAAATCAAACCATGTCTACACCCGGACATGCTCAGAACTCATATTATAGTCAACAGTTTCATAATAGTTATTCTGGTGGTAGAGGTAGAGGTAGAGGTAGAGGTAGGATTGGAGGAAGAAACAAATTTGTTTGCCAAGTTCGTGGAAAAACTGGGCATCTTGCTCTAAACTGTTACCATAGGTTTGATGTTCACTTTACAAGACAACATTCTCCCTCTCCTGGTTTTACAAACAGTTCACCTAACTTCATACATAACACTGGTCCTGCTAATATTGCTGGATTTTCCAGATCGCATGAGTTTAGCCAAAACAACTACTCACCTACAGCTCATCATACTTACTCACAGAATGCTAATCTTGGACCTTCAGTACAATCCTCCAAAAATCCATTTCTCAACACACCATAGTGTCACATACACCCACTCCTAATATTGGTTCTCCATCTAGTACAGGTCCTACAGGAGGACAGAACCAGGCCTTTATAACACAATCACAACCCTATTTACCTACCCCTGCAACAATCAACTATATAGCTACACCCTCTACTGTTCAAGATGCTACGTGGTACATGGATTCTGGAGCTACAGACCATGTGACCTCTGACTTTGCACAGTTGATAGCAAGCTCTAGCTACACTGGTGGTGAGTAGCTCCAAGTGGGTAATGGTGAGTTATTATCTATTTCTTATATTGGCTCAACTGTTTTACCTACTGCTTTCCAGCCTTTACATCTTAGGAATGTGTTATGTGTACCTACTATTACCAAAAACTTGCTAAGGCATGATTATGTTTTCCTTCTTCTCTACTTATTCCTTTGTTCTTAGAATGGAGTAAATCCCTTTTGTTAGGGAAGGATGGAACCCTAATTATGTTTTGAACAAATTTTATTCTTAATACCAGATTTATGTTTATTAATTTGTTTAATAGTTTATGTTTAATGCTTTATGAATGTTGGATTGATTTAATTACCTTGATGATGTTTCGAATAGAGAAGTTAGGGTTTATTGCTTAATTCATATTCATAATTGTTCTATGGGAATAACATTNCTTAATTCATAAAGAATACACAAGTAAAGAAGATAGACAAGCTTTTTACTTGATTTGAAGCCACATTGAAAGACTGCTGGGCACTCCTTTATAAACAACAAAAGTAAGATAATACCCAGGAGGAGCAATGGCGCCTGATGGGGGTGCAGTAGCAATAACGGTGTGAAGTCTTTTATCAGCAATGTTATCACGCACCTCCAAGATTCCAACGTCAATTTGCCTCTGATTCATGTTAATACCATGGGTAGTAAAAGCTGGCGAATACATTGTGACCTGAATGTCTTTCTTCAATATACCCTCCTGGTTTAATCCAAACGTGATGAGAATCTGGCCATTATATGCGACAGTCTGATTGCTCAGTTCTAACACAATTTCCGGTCTCATCGCATCCAATGATGGATCCAAATAAGGAGGATAGAATTTCTCGACCCTCAGCTCAGTTGGGAACTCAGCCTGAGGTTTAAAGACATATCCATTATTAGTGTTGCTCCCTGCAACAAGAATTTTTCCGTCGGGAAGAACAGTAGCAACTGAATGGTACATTCTTGGAATGTCTGTTTTGGCTAACTCCTTAAACCTTTTGCCATTGGGTGCGCTTGGAGAATATAATACTGGGGTAAAATTGGGATCAGTGGCATCATTCCATCCGGAACAACCTCTTTCGGCACCATTAATGATTAGCATATCGTTATTGGGAAGATTCAACATATCGGCCATCGTGCGAGGACTTGGCATTTCTTCCTTTTCCCAAACTGGATCACGAGCCGTGATATCCATTCTTCCACAATCTTTGAGTGCAAATGGAAAAGGTCTTTTCTTAATCATGTCCGTAACTTTATATGCATCGTGTGGTGCTCCCCCGCAAATGAGGACTTCAACCTTGACGTTGTTAGTGTTAACAGGGTCAAGTTTTATGGGGAGGAGAGCGGAGGCTCCTGATGCGGGGTAGCTACGGCTACCACCTGGCAGAACTGGATACTCTCGGAGAATTTGGTTTGTTCTTGGGTTGAGCAAGACGGAACGGTTATTGGCAAAAAAGAAAACGTTACCATCGGGAGCAAGGTGGAGAAAAGGATATAAATTATTCTCAAGTACAAATTCGCCTTCTTTTTCGTTGCCAGGTATTACATCTCTGGTTTGTTTGAGAAAGTCGAAGGGAATTGAAATCTTATTTGTTTGCCCCGGCGGTGGAATGTATTCGTAGCTATAGACTTCACGCCCACCGGCCACTATGAACGCACCATCGTCTAAAGTCACCTGCGTTGCATACCTAATTCAATAACATATTATATTAGAATTAGCGCAAAATAATTTGAAAATGTATATATAGATAATATTATTACCATCTCCCATCTGCAAGTGAATTGGGGTATTCTTTCCAGTCACAAGTATCACATGACTCAAGATATCGCACAGTGGGTGCTCCTCCTTTGTCACCCCCTGAGCTAACCAAGTTTCCGTTCACTGAGAGTCCTCCTGATGAGCACCATGTATCCGTAGTAAGCTGGACAGAGAAAAAACAAAAAATAGATTAATCAAATGTAAATGTATTTGTAATGATTATTAATTAAAAAGAGAGGGAGCATATATAAGCCATAGTGCCATACCTTGAGTGTTCTGAGTTGTGCTGTATTAGGGTCAAACAGGACTGAATGGGCAAAACAATCAACTTCTTGGGTTTTTTCATCCACCGTACGGCAAGGCCGCTGTTCAGGGCTCAATTCAATCGTTGATTGCTTCCAAATTGTGGCATCGTACATCAAGACCTTGCTGATTTTGGGAAGCAAGATAGCGTGCATAGCTGAGACACCAGAACTCGTAGATGCCAGCTCCCATTTTCCATTGAATACTCCGGCTGGTAATTCTACTGATTGTGCGCTCTCTGCTAATTTTCTTTCAGATTTCGCCTTCAAAATTGTATTATTTCCCAATGCTTTGCCATCGGAGTACTTTTGTTTTTTATTGAGATCTGCATCATTAAGTTCTTGAAACAAGTCCTCCTCCTTGTTAGGAGTCTTTCTTCTGCTCTCCGCGTACGTAGAAACAAACAAGAGAGCAAGAACAAAGAGAACTTTGGAAGCGCAGGCCGCCATTGTTTTTTCAATGGCTTGGCTCCACAATGCTTTATTTTTTTTTTTCTTTTGTCTACGTCTCCCATCTCTTCAAGAATTTATAGCCGCAAATTTGCAATTGCATTTGTCTGCACCTAATTTTGAGATATTTCCGCTATTCTTTAACTATTTAAAGGAGGAATGAACAAGTCAACTTTCAATATTATCATGTTTATATGCTTTTCTGGACGGAAGAAAAAAAAAATTGTATTTAAATTTATAATTTATTATATATTATTCAAATGTTTTAATTTTATAAAATAATATCTCTTAATCTTAATAAATAATTTTAATTCTCTATAAACACTTTTCACCCTCATTCTGCTCTCTTATTTATTATTTTTTTTTTCTAAATTTTTAGATTAAAAATAATTTAGTTTATCTTCTTAACAATGTTATAATCTCTTTAATTTATCATATGACAAAATTGAAGAAGTTTAATTTATCATCTTTAAGATGGACATATTTTTAATTAAAATTTAAATAGGTTTTATTTATTAACGATTTTTTTTCACATAAAAAAATTGATATTTGTTTTTATGTATTTTCAAATGATATCTGTAATATGTGTTTACATTAACCACTTTTTATTCCTCGATATGGATTTGCCATTTCCTTAGCTCAAACTCTTGTAGTTCCGATCAGTGGTGGACTTAGGATTTCACATAAAAGGGGCACTATAAAAATTTTAATATTTAAATAATATTATAAATATGATCAATAGTTCTTATATACAAAAAATTATACTAAAATACAAAAATTCTTCAATTCCTTTTAGTAACTTTTGAAATATCAAATTAACATTCAGCAGACACTTTTTTTTTTAATAAATTCAATATAAAGGATAGAAGTGTATTTTTTTTTTCTATCAATAGAGGACTCTTAACTGTAAATTTGAGTTTAGATTTGACAAAGTTATTATCAAATGACATAAATACCTTTAACCATAATTTTTTATTTTTTTAATTATTTTATTTCAATTTTTTATATTTTTCATTTAACATTATTTTATTTTTCAGAATTTTAGATTATTTTTTATTTTTAAAATTTTCCTTTTTCCGTTTTCTTTTTCAAACTTGTTAAGATTAATTTATACTTTTTTTTTTAATAAAACTTTTAAGTGTTTTCACATGTAAATACAAGATTAATAAATGAAAAACTAAAATACCCGAGTACAGTTAACTTTAACACTTTCAGACCATTAACTATCCTCCCGAAGAAAAAAAAAAAAAAAATTCTATCCTTTTACGTTAAGTTCTTAAAAAAAAAATGTTCACAGAATGATAATAACCTTATCAATAATTAATGCTAAGTAGAGTTTTTATTTTAAATAAAATGACAAAAAATAAATAGATGTATATAATATACAAATGAATAAGTAAAAGTCAAGAATTCATAGTATTTAATAAAAGGTGAAATACAAAACAATAGTAATAGAATGAATTTGTTTTAAAGAATTGGGGGTGAGGAGGAGGAGGAGGGTTTTGTGTCCGCCTTGCTTCCAATAGCAGTGATCATGCTTTTAAATTCATGAAAAGCAATTTTGAGAGGAAGAGCTCTTCCCCTTTTTTCATGAGCTGCTACGACCGAATTAAAATCTCCTAAAAGCATCAAAGGATGATCATGAAAATTATTATAAAAACCAAAAAGATATAAAATTAACATTACACTTTTAATTCTAAATAGATAGGTGGGCTTTAATGATAAAAAAAAAAAAAAAAAAAAATTACCGGGCTAGTATAGGTTGTTTGAGCCTTTTTAGACACTGGAAAAAAAATATTTGATTTGAGTTGGATTTGCTCAAATCCAATGATGCACAAACACAATTTATCAAGGTTTTACGTTATATGCAAATAGACCAATTTAAGGGAATTACTTAGCTAGTAAACAACCCTTTTTGTTTTTCTTATTGACATGAAAGTAATAAGTATATAGTAGTAGTGTAGTACCATAAGCTCTATTTCGTTTTATTTTATTTTTCAAAACTACATATATAAGCCAAACCTTGTTCACTTGTTTGAATGATGATTAATGCTGTATATTTGCTTATCACACTGGGAAAAAAAAAAATTTGTTGATGCGTGATTTTGACACCAACAAAACGTACGTGTGAAATGTTGAGCTGGCCTAGAAGACACACGTGAATGTAAAGGAAAATAACAGTAAATGCAATGAGGACAGTTTTTAAAGTGGTTCGGATGCTAAGGAAGCAAGTCCTACGTCCATTGATGTTTGTATTATTGATAAGGGTTAGGTCGCCTCAGCTGACTGACTTTACAATGGTAATACAAGGTATCTAATGCTGTCTATTCTAGAGAGAAAGAGTGGCTGATCAAGAGTAAAAATGTGCGAATCCCCTTAATGAGAGAGGAGCTCTCAACTTATAGTGAGATACATTGAGGTAATGATCACTGAATCTGTAAGTTGGTGGAATGATCCGTGCAAATCCTTCTTTATGTCACATTTCCCATCTTCAAGAGTAATTCAAGTGATTTGCTGCAGAGATTGGACACACTTACATCCTCTAACCTTTCTTTAGTCTAGTGCGTACCCACTGTACTGACAGGAGTGTGCTACCTGCATCATTACACGACACGGCTGCGCCAGAATGTCAGTAAACTCTTCCCGAGGTCTGACCTTTCGCACTTAACTGGGTGTCATGTCAGCCCTATTTTCCCAGGCATAACAGAAGTCCCCTAGTTTTTAAGGTTTGAGAATCGAACCTTGGAAACTACAAGTCATGCCGCAATTGGATGATTCCTGAAAATTCTGGAAATTCTAGTGATTTCAACCTGTTTTGAAAGTAGGTTGGGACAACACTTTTTTGCGAACATGACCTCGCATGATCATTGTTTGCAGAGGACGAGCAACCTGATTTTGTCAGACGTCTCCTGTTGTGCTTTTGATATGGGCGCATTTAATGAAATAGTCTCTGCGCTGACAGATGTGCCTTGTGCGTGATAAGTGCCAGCCGGACGCATTAAATGTGTTGTATGCTGACACAGTACATTTTATCAGAACATTAAATGTGTTATACATTGGAACGACGCCCCTTATTAGAGCATTAAATGTAGATTTGAGATGCAATTAATGCTCTGAGAAAGAGAGATGGCCGTCGTTTGAGCTTTTCAACGGGAAAGATGAAGGTTTGACTTTATCCAGTTGTGACGCTCACTCTTCCCCGCTGATGTGCGACACGTGGCCTTGATCAACGGTGAGAAATCTTTATCGCCCAAATGCTATATCGATTCCGAGAAATCTAAACGTCGATTCCTACGCTATAAAAACCTCAAATCTTTCTCAAGCAATGTCACCAGAGTCTTTTTCACAGAGAATAAAAGATTTTCGCAAACCTGAAACCTTTGTTTTCCAAACCTGCATTTTTTCGACATTCGAAGCAGAAGCTGTTCTCATACTCCGAGAGGTAAAAACCTTTCTCTGTTTTTGTTTCATTATTTTCCATGATTAAATGACGTTAGTCTTCCGGTAACCAATTGAAGACGAAACGCTTATGTCGAGTTCGAGCCATGAATGGCGGCTCGAATCATGCTGTTAGGGTTTTCTTTGGGATTTAGGGAGTTTGTTCCTCCCACATCATCGTGCGAAATAGCGTATGGCGGCTAAATGACCCTTCTACCTGTCGCTTTTGCAGACTGGCAAAATGGACCCCCCAATAACCAGATCCGAGCAAGGAACCGGTTCATCCCCACAGGGTGCTCCAAGTATCCCTCTCGAGGTCTTCTTGGTACTTATCGGGGATGAGCTCGAGAGGGTAATAAAATAGTACGGTATCAAGGTGAACGTTTTCCTCGACGTGACACACTCATCGCGATACCCGTCAAATGGTCTGGCCGCGATCTTTGAGGAGATCATCAAGGGTGGGGGACTGATCCCCTTCCACCCTTTCATTAGGCCGCTTTTGGACCACTTCGGGGTCGCGCCGATGCAGCTGATTCTGAATGCGTACGTTATTGCCGTTGTAATGTACATCGCGTGCCATGAGAACGGGCTGGGCGAGTTGACCACGATGGAGCTTGACTGCTCGTATATTTTGAAAAAGAGCAAGGACAAGAACTCTTATTACTTGTCCAAGCGACCTACTATCACCGAGGGGATACATAGTTACCCGAGCAACGCAGGGGCCTATGAAACGAAGTTGTTCTTCTTTTATTATGACGGCCATTGCAGCTTCCAAGAACCAAGTAGGCCTCTTTTTTTTTTTTTTACAAATTCATTACATTCGAAATGTGCTCTTTCTAACGACCTGATTCCTTTCTGACAGTTAACAAGACGACCGACTTAAGGCTGCTCTTCGATAGACGTAGGATCGTGCATTTCGGCTCCCTACCTGAGGACAAACGCAACGCGAAGAAACTCGTAACGACCGCGAATTTGCGAAAATACAGTTTCTTCAATGCAAGCACGTCGTTAGAGCCCCTATTGAGTAAGTCCTGCTAACTGGTCATTTTCTGGTCGTGAATTGGAATACCTTTGCTAACAGTGCTTTGTATGCAGCGACCATGCCTTCGAAGGAGTCAGAGCAGCCGCGACGAAGGCCGCTCAATTTCCCTCGGTCAAGAAAAGCCAAGGCGACAGATGCTGCTCCGACCATTCCCCCGGCTGAAAAGGTAACATCGGGCCTACTGACACGACCTTCTGGAACTCCTCAGCTGCAACAGTCAGAGGACGCACCAATACGAACCACGAAGGTCTCCCAGCTGTCGCCTGCTCGCCCGAGGCTGAAGACAACAACTCAGTGAAAGAAGAGGAGGCAAATTCAGGTCGAAGAGTCAGATATCGAATCTGAGGGCGATCAACCCAAGAGGTCGCGACCAGACGTGAGGAGGTCGGGTAAGGAACCGATGGACGACACGACCACTGCTGAAGGCGCGAAGAAGGATACTCCAGTGTTGGACGCGCTGGGGAACCTGTCGGAGTACCTGCAGCCGGTGGTCTTGCCTTATTGGAATGCGGGCTCTCAG